CTAGAATGCGTTGGAGAGGTTTAGGAGAATCCTGAAGGCGTTGGAGGCTTCTAGAAGTCTCTAGAAGGGTCTAGGATCCGTTGGGGGGGGGGCCTCTAGAAGAATTTAGAAGGTTCTAGAAAGATCTATAAGGATCCAGGATCCAAAAGCCGTCGGAGACATCTAGAACGATCTAGACGGATCTAGAAGTATCTAGAAGAATCCAGAACAAATCGGAGGCATCTAGAAGGGTCTAGATGGATCTAGGAGCCGCTAGAGAGATCTAGAAAGACCCAGAAGAATCTATGAGGATTTAGAAGCATCTAGAAGGATCCAGAAGCTCCAAATGGGCTAGGTTTCTCTGGATTTTTAGGTCATTAAGATCCTTGTGAGATCCTCCAGGTGAAAGATCAGAAATTCAGAATTTCAAGGTATCAAAACTTGCAAAAAAAAATCCAAATCCCAAATTCATCGAGCGTCAGAAACTTCTAGTTCCTTTTACCAAGAGGAATTCGTGATTAGCCTCAGCTGAGCTCCTTTTCTCTCTCTCTCTCTTTTTCTCTCACCACTTGAAAAACTGAAAACTAAATAATTCAAGGATTTTGTGGGAAAAAAAGGAAACGTTGCTTCTTTTTCTTTTCAAATGATGAATTCTTTGATTGACGTGGTGCATCTTCGTCTAATAAGACATAGGAGAGACGGATCGGATCTAGAAGTAGTCGGAGACATCTAGAAGGGTCTAGAAGGGTCTAGAAGGACCCAGAAGCATCTAGAAAGGTCTAGGATCCGTTGGAGGCGTCTAGAATGCTCTAGAAGCGAAGCTGTGATATGGCAGAGGGATCCTTTTCTGGAAGTTTCTAGAAGAGAGATTTCCAGATTTTCAGACTTTTCCCTAGCTGAAATTGCCATCAAAGTGTTCAATAGCTAGGAAATCCTGGGAAAAACGAATTTCTCCAGATTTTCAAGCTAATTTCGCTTATAGCTGGCTTCGTCCTACATGGCCATACCTAGGAAGCGGATCACAAAAGCATGATTTCAGCTCTATTTTTTCAGCCTGTTTCAGCTGATTTTCCGCAAATTTTTGGCTTGAAAATCCAACCAAAACAAAGCAAATTTCAGCTAGAAAATTCAGAAAAATCCTTGTTTTCTGAGAGCCGTTTTGTATGGCATTTTGTATTCTAACACGGACACCAAAAGTGAGCGAGAAAAAGAAGAAGAGGAACACTGCACATCCGACCGGCTGGCGGCAAAAATGAATTTATTGGTGGAAAAGAGAGAGAGAGAGAGGAAAGGGTGTCTAACTAGGGGAGGGACATCATCCCAGCTAAACAACAACAACGACAACGACGGCGACGACGTCTGACGGAAAGGGATAAGGCTGAGCAATCTAGAAGATCTAGATTCGATATTTTCAGATTTCTTAGATTCTGGGAAAATTAAACAAGCCTTGAGGTTCAGGTTGTCGAATCGTCCAAAATAGCTCCAGAATCTTCTAAAAGCGCCTAAAATGTCTTCTAGAAACAGCAAGAACCTTCTGGAATGTCGAGAGGTCTTCAGAACCATCTAGAATCTACTGTAGGTATTCTGGAACAATTTCTGGCTATTTCTGACGTTAAAATCGTCCAGAATCGTCTAGAACATTCTGGAATAGTCTAGAAGTCTTCCGAACTGTATAGACGTCTTCAGAATCATCTAGAAATTTCCGGAATCATCTAGAAGTCTCCACAATCGTCTAGAAACCTCCAGAGACGGCGTTCCATTTTCAGCTTCCGGAAAAAAGATAGGAGGTCTGATGAATAGATTTCAAGAATCTTCTGACACTTGAATCTTTTGACATTCAGAATCCAGAAGCTGGCCAGGAGCTGCCCAGGAGCTGCCCAGGAGCTCTATTGCTAACTTCCAATTGTTGAAGGCTCTAACGTTCAGATGAGCGCATTCTTTATGTCAAATCGGTTCTAGGATTCCAAGGCCCTTCTAGAATCTCTTAATCTTCATAAAATTCTCTTCATTTCCTTTTTGAAAATATCTCGAATTTCTTTGAAATTGTAATTCTACGCCTTTTCTTCCTTCTTTTCATCCTTTCTCCTTCTTTTTTTAACGTCTTCAATTTCTTCTTCTACTTCCTCTCCTTTTCATTCTATTCCTTCTCTACTGTAGCAATCTCGAACAAATAAACCAAAAAATCACGCAATTTCAGTTTTACGATCAGCAATGAATAGGAAGGGAGAATGAGAATTTTCCGCAACAAAAAGGAGGAGGCGATTCTGAGTTCGAATCGAAACAGATGTTTCTTGATTCATGGGATTGAAGGATCCAGGATCCTGCTATCCACGTGGGTGGATAGCAGGATCCTGATAGAATCTAGGATCTATCAGAATCTATTATAGGAGCGTTGGAGATATCTGAATGGATCTAGGATTCGTTGGAGGCGTCTAGAGGGATCAAGGATCCCCGATTCCAGATTCTCCATATTCAGATGGCCTAGCTTTCTCTGAATTTCTAGACCATCCAGATCTCAATACTCCATATATTGATTTCCATAGGATCTATGGGACCTGGAACATTTAAAACGCACGAGCTTTCATACTAGGAATCTGGAGAATCTAGCTAATAGAAAGCATGGCTAGAGAAATCCAGATTTCAGGAACTTCAAAGATGAGAGTCTTCAAGTTTCAAGCTCAAAAGCTGGAATTCCAGATCAAGTTCTCGTGAATCCCAATTTGGAACTTCGAAAGGATTCAGATGACCTTGAAAACTTCCGACTCGAAAATCTTCGATCCCAACAGAGCCTTGGCCATTCATGCCATGGCTTTCGGATTACGGTACTTCTGGCTACGGTAGCTTGTAGTTCTGGCTATAAGCTAAGGTTCTTCTATCCGTCCAGCTGGTCCATAGCGGTCTACAGTAGCCCACAGTACTCTCCATGACCTCCTATTGCTGATAGTAATTCCAAGGTCTCCAGGTGTCCCAAAAACGCTAAAAACTGAGTAAATCAACATAAAACACCACAAAATAGTAGATGTGTGTTATTGGACAATCGGATTATACCGCATATAAATATAAAAATTTCTGTATGTGTGTTTACTCAAAAAGCAGCCAGACGGAGGGACAGGCAAGGTGTGAGAAATAAAAAGGGAGGTATTATTATAGATCAACAACAAAAGTTCATGGTTCCAAATTTCTACAGTAATTCATCAGAAAAATCTACAGTACTCCTTAAAGTAGCAAGGACATCCGGTATATCGGGAAATACAGACAGACACGCTTAACAGTGTTGTAGGCTGAAAATTCCAGAGCAATCCCATCCTACAGTAATCCAAGTGAAACGGACATCCGGATATTGAAAAATACGGACAGAAATCTCAATCAAACGTTTACTGGGATTATAAATTTCAGAGAAAACTGGAATTTCTACAGTAATCCAACTAGCACGCACAACAAAGTCCGAGAACCCTACAGTAACCTGACCAAAGTCTACAGTAACCCAGCCAAACTCTTGTCGGGATAAAAAAGGCCATAAAAACCACCAAAAATTCACAATTTCAGCGATATTTTCAGCCGAAAATGACTCAAAATGCATCAAAATCTACCAAAATCAACGGAGAAAGACCATAAATTCAAAAAATCCAATATTCCAGGATCCAGACATCCATCATTCAGAAAATTCAAATCCATCTAGGTCAGCATTAGTGAAAGTCCACAGACACGAAGAACACCATGTCTAGAGGACAGCAAGACATCCGGTAGCAAGTAGGGAATGGTTTGTGTACATTTGACTACATTTCAACCAATTCTTTTGGCCATTTTTTTGGCCTTTTTTTGCATTCTCCTATTTTTTTACAGCCATTATACGGTATGTCACTTTGAATGAGACACATGACCAAAAAAAAGGCAATCCAATCAATTCCCGAGGATAGGGGAAAAAATAATGGAGAAAATGCAAATCAGTCATTTTTCAAGGTCATTTTTGACCTTGAAAAAACCATCTTTGAAATTTCTCCAAGGCTGTTGGAAGAGAAAAAAAACCATTTCCAATTGCTCAGCACTGATTATAGCCTTTTTGAACGGATTTTCGGCGGAAATCTCCAGTTTTCAGTTTAGGAAAAAGCCAAATTTCCCCCTTAGAATTTCAAGGGTTCGGAGCAATCAGTGGATTTTGGACCATTTTCAGCCAATTTTTCATGTTCCAGACGGCGGGTAGTTTGCCGTGGACCAAAACGTCCATCCTTTGAGAAATAAGGTTAGCAATCCAGAAGCAGCTAGGGTCTCAAGTCTTCGGTAGGAGGACGCCTACTCATTCTAAATGTACCGTAACCAAAATACGGGGTTTTTTTTCTAAAACTTTCCTTGGGAATTCCAGGAATTTGGGATTTATAGAAAATTCAGAGGAACAAGTTTCTATGTATTTCCGGGTCGTTCTAAATAGCAAGGACTTACCATCAAACTACACCTAATTCTGTGTAGTTGATAGCTGTCAATCAGAAAAAAGTGTCAAATTTGAAAATTGAATTTTTGGCTTTTTGGGTGCAGAACTTTCCCAGGAAGCTCAAGAGCTCATTTTCAGGCTGAAAATTCCAGCGTCAAGCCAGCGAGACAAATCTGGACCATTTTAGCTTCAATGTTGGCTTGAAAATCGACGCTAGAAAGTCATTTACAGCCAAAATCAGCGACGAGAATGTTCAGATTCTTTTAAGTCATTATGGGCCGTTTTCGCTTCAATTCTAGCTAGGAATATCGGTTCAAAAGCTTCTAGAGTCTTCTAGAATCATCTCCAACCGGCGAGCAAGACTTCAAATAGTCCAAAGATCGTTCAGAAACTTCCGGGAGCTGTGTTGGACTGGCTCCGAAATTCGATTCCAAAGCTTCGAGAACCTTCTAGAATGACATAACTTCCAGAACTCGATTTTTCCCCAAAGTTCCAGCCCCCAAATTTCAATTTCAGCCAGCAGCAGTAGTAGTAGTAGTAGTTCGTCTTCTGATGCCTCCTGCCTTCCAAACCACCGTCCAAGTAGTTAATAGGCTCATAAAAGTACACATCTTAATGATGGTTTGTACTTTTCCTCCTGTCATAATGAGAGGAGGAGGGAGGTTTCAAATCAGCTCTAATCAGCAAATCAGAGGCGATTAAAATATGTGGCAACACACTCAAAAAGTGGGAGAGAAGGGGGCGGAGCCTAAATCGGTGTTCCATTGTTTTACGTCATACTGGGTGATAGTCGGGAATGATAGTCGGGGGGAGGAGGAATGATAGCAGATAGCAAGAAGGAAACAGTGATAATGATACATTTTATTCAATTTTTGTGTTTTTCTGTATATCTGTGCATCCCGATGTCCATTTTTCGCATCCCATCTCAATTTTATAGCCTGTTATAAGTGGCTGGTGCGCCTTCGGCGCATATTTACCCAAAATTTCAGCGGATTTTCAGCCATTTTAGCAGGCTGGCCATTTTAGCAGGCTTTGGCGCCGTTTCTGGGGCGAATTTCAGCCTTTTCCCGCTAATTTTAAGCTTTTTTTCAGCCAAAAAGCAACATTCTAGATAAAAAAAATACGAAATTTCAGTCAATTTCAAGCAATTTTCAGTCAATTTTCTTCCATTTTCCCCCAAATTTCCCAAAAAAAAAACTCACCCTCACCCGTTGCTTATAGCCGTTGTGTCCATATTTGCCTATCGTATTCGTGGTCCGCGCGTTTTGATGATTCGCCGATCGATAGCTGAGACCTCCCGGCGCCGATTGTTGCTGCTTGGCGGGCGTATGGTGGTGACGTTGGCTATTCTGATGATACGGATTCTTTGCGGTGGTGACGTTGGTGGAGCTTCTGGAGCTTGTAGACGTCGCTGTGGTGGTTTTTGACGCCGAGCTGCCGGAGATTGGAAATATGGGCATCATTGATGCTGAAAATATTTAAAATTAGAAGATTCTAGGTTTGAAAAATAGCCAAAAAGGAGGATAATTACGGTAATTAGGCCCTAATAGAGCCAAAAAATGGAAAAAAATCGAAGGGGAAGCAGCTGGAAAATAGGAAATTGGGTGTGTTCGAATTAAAATTTCCTTGTTTTTCCCCTTAATTACCATAATTATATTGTAAATTATGGAGATTTTATGGAGATTTTCAAATTTCACAGAATCCAATAATCAGGAATACCGTAATGGGGTTATTCATGTAGCGAAAAAAATTTAAAGATTTTCCCCATCCTGCACAAAGTTCAAAGGCGCATTCCTTTTTCCAGAAAAGATATCTCGCCACGCGATGTATTGAAATGCATTTACAGTTATGTCGCAAAATGCTTTGAAATACATTTCGCGACGCTCATGCATTGAATTTCGAGGGCGCGGAAATGCATTTCAATACATATTTTCGCTACATGAATACCTCCATAAAAAAGTGGTCAAAATTGAGCCGTCTCTAAGCTCCGAGAACCACAAAAATCGACAAGAAATTCGGGAAAAATCGCATAAAAACCCCGCAAAAATTGTTTTTTTTTTGGGAGGAAATACCGTAACTACTATAATAGAACGCCACTCGGACCGTCAACTTTGAGACTATATATTTCGCTTCTTTTGAAAGATATCAAAAAGTTGTCAACTGATAAAATGTTTATCATGATATCATCAACATTTTATCAGTAGATCACTTTTTGATAATTCTCACAGAAAATGAGATACATGAGCTAAAGTTGACGAGATTCGGGTGGCATTCGATTAGAGTGTTTACGGTATTTCCTTCCAAAAAGTGCTATTTCAACTTTCAGCTCAATTATCTCGGCTCCCATGAGAGATATCAAAAATCTGTCAACTGATAAAATGTTGGTGATACCATCAGCTACATTTTATCCGTTGACCAATTTTCGGCATCTTTCATAGAAATCGAGATAATTGAGCTCAAAGCTAAAGACTTGGGTTGGCTTCTATAAGAGCATCCTAAAAACCCAAAAAAATGAGTTTTCCGGGAGAAATGAGCAATTCATACTAAACTCTTTATTTTTGCTAATTTTTATCTCTTTTCCCTCATTATAAATGTCACCTAATAAGCTTCATTTTTCGGTCATTTCAGCTCTAATTTTCTTATTTTTCCTCCTTTTTTTTTCAAAATTTCAGCAAAATTCTTCATTTTCGGTCAGTTTTTCCTACACAGTTTTTTCGCGAATTTCAACCAATTTCCTTCATTTTTTTGCCCATTTTTCCTACTAATTCTCATCTTTTCCCATTGTATGGTTATTATTATTCTTACTTTTTTCTGACCGTCCTCCCACACTTTTTCTACCCAAAATGTGTGTAATATTTGCACTAGGTGAGCAGAGAGACAGTGAGAGTGTTCCAAAAGAAAGTGATGCGTCACTTTCTCTGTTTTTTTTTTCATTTCATTCTATTCTCTTATCGTAGTACTTTTGCAGTTTTCAGCTAGATTTAAAGGTGGTGTGCGGTGAAAAATTTTATTGGTTTATTTTGTAGCAGAATTGCC